CCTTACTGTTTATTTTTGTTATGCGTTTGGTCTCTGTGTTATCTAAAAATACTATTTTTCCCTTATTAATTTTTTAAATTAATTTTCTTATTTATGTATTTATTTTTTATAAAAAAATTAATATACCCCACATAAATGTATCTTATCACCGTAAACCTGAAACCACATTTGAGAAATTTAATTGGAGTCTTACCATTCACCATCTCATCTCTGATCCTCCCCATCTTCTATTTCTTTTCCATCTTTAGTAACATCAACGTCTTCACCGTCCTTTTTTTTTTGGTACTTCAACTCTGGAGAACCAACACCATAACCTACTATCTCTTCATATTTAGTGGGTTGTAGTGTTGTTTCGACGGAGTTGAAGGACCGAAAAAAGAAGTGATGATGAAGACGTCGATATCACTAAAGATGAAAAATAAATAGAAGTTGAGAATGATGAAAGATGGGATGGTGAGGAGATACAGATATGTGAGGTCTACTAATTTTTCTTAAACATATAAAGCATAAGTACATAAACAAGAAAACTAATTAAAAAAATTAATAAGGGCACAATAGTCTTTTTAGGTAAGACAGAGACCAAGTTCATAACAAAATTAAATAGTAGGGACCATCCGAGTTAAAAAATTAAATTAATTAAAAAATAAATAGTAGGGATCATCCGAGGAGATACAAATATATGTGGTATATTAATTTTTATAAATATGTAAAAAATAAACATAGATAAGAAAATTAATTAAAAAAATAAATTCATAAGGGCACAATAGTATTTTTAGGTAATATGGGGACCAAACGCGCAACAAAAATAAGCAATAGGAACCATTTAAGTTTAAAAAAATAACTTAGAGACCAAAACCACAAATTCCCCCAAACTACAGGGACCATTCATGTAATTTAATTTTTACTTTTGGTTTTGTTCATATTTGGGTAACTATTTTTTTTTTACACATCTAGGTAACAAACTTATTAAAAGCGTTCACATTTAGGATTTAACCTGCTATAGCAGGTCATAATGATCATATGTGAACACTCCCAAAAAGTTTGTTACCTACATATGTACAAAAAAAAGATAGTTACCCAAATGTGAACATACCGAAAAGTTAATTACTTTGATAAGTCATATTCCCTTTACATTATTATATTTTATATCATATTTTGATTAATACATATGTATTAATTAATTTGACATAAACCCCATTTTTTTTAGATAATGAATTTTACATTATTATATTTTATTAAAAATACAAACATATCATAAAGTCTTTTTTTTATATAATAAAAACTACAGTTAACAAAATATATGTTTATTTTGGTTTTATAAACTACGAAATACATAAAGTAGTTTCTTTATCACGAAAGCCCAATAGTGTTTTCTTTATTTCATGACAAAGCCCAATTATGTCTCTTAATATTGTTACATATTTACATATTTATTTAGGCCATAAATCAATTAACTCAAGTATAATTATTTTTAAGATGTTACATAATCATTATTATAAGTTAAAGAAAGCACTTCATGTCCTAAAAGAAGCTCCACGCCCTTGTTATCAATAACTTAAAAGCTTCCTTCTTCGATGCGGGTTTACAAACTCCATGGCTGGTTCTTCATTCTTTATTTACAACAAAACTGGAGTTTGTCTATATTCTTATCTATGTCGATGACATTCTCATTACCTAAAATGACAACTAGTTCCTAAACTCTTTCATACTCCAACTTGGTCGAATGGTCGTTGTTTTTCATTGAAGGATCTTGGGGAGTTGCATCAATTTTGGGTATGAAGTTATTCACACCACTTCTAGTCTTTTTCTCTCTCAACATCATCACATCAATGATCTCCTAGACACTTTCTCTATGACCAGAGCTAATGTGTTATATGACTTCGTTACTTATTAAAGATGGATCTAATCCTATTGATACCATCCTTACAAAACAAATGTTGGAAGTCTCCATTATCTCTCCTTGGTGCATCATGATGTCTCACTTGCAGTAAACCACATCTCCTTGTTAATACATTCCCCAACCGAATTATATTGGACTTCACTCAAATGTGTTATATGTTATTTAATGAGTATAATCCATAATGGTCTTTTTCTTTATATAAAGTCGCTACATTTAGAATAAATGTCTCTACTAACTCATATTTGTGAGGAAATCACTATAATGGCTCTTCTACCACTACATATATTATCAATTTGGGTTCTAATCCCATTTCTTGGAAGTCTTCACGCCCCGTCGCTACCGCAAACACCTTTAGCAGTGAAACACAAGTATTAGTGGCAACAACTGAATTAATCAGGGGAAAATGTACACATCGACACTGGTCGCTGCTATTGCCTTTTTGTGATGATCTATTGATTTTCAACCATTAGATCGACGACATTAATCAGTAGTTGGGATTCGTCCAAAAACACTCACAATGATCGTGGTTACCAAGTGTTACTGGACACCTTTAGCAGCGACACTCGAAAGTGTCACCGGCTATTGTTTGCGTCGCCATTAAATGTGTCGCAGGTAATGAATGTATTTCTTGTAGTGTAAAAATCAAAGATAAATACAAAATGCTAGTTCGATTAAACTTTGTGATGTATAATTAGGAAAATATAAAGTAAAGTCTGATTAAGAAAAATAGGAACACAAACTTACTTCGTGATGTAACTGTGAAAATTAAAAGAATATGATAAGATAACATGGAAAACGGTACTTCGCAAAACAATTTTATCTTCGTGGATCGTGTATTTTAACATGGCGGTTCACAATTTGGTAAAATTTGAGTGAAGAAGTGAACACTTAGGGCCTGTTTGATATGCAATTGATTGGATCCGGTCAGCACTTTTGGCTGACTCGGTTCAGTCAACGCGTTTGATAAAAGGCTAAACACGTTTGGCCCAGTCCAATCCTCTGATCCGGTCATAGAAATTTGGCTGACTCGGTCCTGAGTAAAAAATGGACTGACAAATCTCTCCGTTTTGCCCTTGAACTTCCCCATCGTGAACGACATCACAAACGCTCTCTTCCTCCATCGACACTTCCTAACCTGCAGTCTCCTTCCTTCGACGTCTCCTTCATCCACCTCCGCCAATGCCTTCCTGCGCCAATGCGCCGTCTTCCTCATATGAGGGTTTTTTTTTCCTTCAATCTTTGGTTTCAATCACAAAGCCATGAACTCGAACACCTTATTGGAATATTGAAATTTTTTAGAGTCTTAAGTGGAATGTATGAAACCATATGATTGTTCTAATGAGCTCAAGTTATTTTATTTATAAAGTGGGACTATCAATTGAGATCACGAATGCTTTAATCTTGTGTGCATGTATATTTTGTAATATGAGTTAGAAACAATTATTGAGATCACGGATTCTTTAATCTTGTGTTCAATGAATATTTTGTAATATGAGTTGAAACAATTATTGAGATCATGGATTCTTTAATCTTGTGTGCAATGAATACTTTGTAGTATGAGTTGAAAATGTGGTAATCTTGATATATTAGCCTTGATATTTTGTAATGAGTTAAAAATGTGGTTATCTTGATATATTAGCCTCTCAATAGAACATACTTTTTAAACCATTCTATATTCTATTAAGCTATGTCTTGTCGGTGCTCTAATTAAAACATTATCCTTGTAATGTCCATGGTGACAACAAATAATAAAACAAAAAGTGAATCCACATCCAGATCTTCAGAAGTGTTTTACAATACAACAAACCAACTTGCTTAATATTAGAGTCAAGTCAAGTTTCTTGAAACTTTGAAGTCATGCCCTCTTCGAACACAATACCCACACCCTTCTCTACTACAAATAATCAACCTTCAATCTTCTTTTTTCACATCAAACTCTTCTCAAAAAATCCACAAAATTTAATCAATCTCATCAAAGAAATTGAGAAATTCAACAATGACAGTCATATTCGTTGTTTTTGTGTCATTTGGCTGTGTTTTCTTCTTAGCACTCCCCTTATTTGCTTTATGTTACATCCTAAAAAAGTCTAAATGCAGCAAGATGGCTGAAAAAAGTGAAATGGTGCATATCGATGAGCATTTGAAGGTGAATGAGAATATTTTGCAAGGTCCAAATGGCACGAAGTTAGTTGCAATTACAATTGATGATGATTTACATGTTGATGAAGAAGAAGAATGCAGGAAGAATGAGAAACTTGGAAAAGCGCTTCATTAAACATGTTGTGATGGAATTCATGCTCAGAGTACAACGTTAAAGCTTGAAATTTGAATTTGATGGTGTAAATACTAAATAAAGCTTGTGGAATTTAATTTATTATGAATATGGGACTGTTTCTCTTTTATTAGTAATAAAACATTACATTTAATTAAGAATTGAGAAATATATATAATGGATTATATAGTCATTTCAAGTTTGATGGGAATCAAATCCACACACTACTCAAAAGACAAAATTTACAACTTTTAGACTATCCTCACAAAAGCCAAAGAAAACAACAAACCTCTACGACTAATTTTGTAATTTTCTGTAACATTAACCGACATAATTATCACTTTGACAATATTGTATCTCAAAAAATTTAAAATGGCTCGAAATTAAATCAATTGTAAGTAAACGTTTTCATAGAATAAAAAACATAACCTACTTTTCTCTATAAAAAGAAGTCTAATCTATTATCAAAAGTTTATTAAGATAAAATAAAATTAAATTAAACTCTATACTTTCAACAAAAACAACAATATGGAAGAAATATTGACATAAAACATAAAACCCAAAATTCCTAAAAAATTTTGTTCAAAATAAAACTTTTAAATTCGTAGTTTCGAACTCATTTTTTCTTTAATTAAAGTTTTTTTTTTTTTAATGCTAAAATATAAGTTTGTAAAAGCTAGTTGTCAAATATAGATATTAGAATATACATTTCTTAACGTAAACAACGAAAACTTTTTAGTCCACATACCACAATTGCTCAAAAATAAAACGAAACTTGAAAACCTAATCAACGTTTTCATTATTTTTTCACACATATAAAAAAAGAACACAATCTAAATTACCAACAAAAAGAAAAAAAAAAAAAAAAATCTAAATCTCACCTACGAATGCATAATAAATAGAGTTTTCTTTTTGCATAAACAAAAAATCTTTTTAGCATTTAAGCACTAGTTATCGATTCATCTTTGGCATTCCAATATCTGTTGAAAAACCACATCGTATCAGCCGTCACTGAATATCCATCTTGATTCCTATGCCACGCGTAGTATGCATGCGTTCTGTTCTTAATGTCAAAAGTAGCATGCCCAAAACTCGCTTCCCTAAATGCTGAATAATCTGGTTGTGGCTCAGTCATGCTACACACCACCATAAAATAAAATCACAATTTTTTATAAAAGTGTCAAATATGTATTATATAAATTTTAGGAAAAAAAAAAAAAAACATTACTTAGTTGCTAAACCCTCGAGGTTTCCTCCATCTCCAATGGTTATGTACACGGGGGCGGATTGGTCTTTTATAGGTTTGCAGATACCATTGACAATGTTGTAAGCAACGTTCGATATACGTTCCTACACAAATGCAAAAACGAAGCAATGTCATCTATTTGTTTATTGTATGCAAAAAGAGCAACATATTTTCATTGATTTTTTTTATTATAACACCCTACTTTTTTTTTTCGTGTTACATTAACATTTTACTTCAAAAAACCTACCGAAATAAAACATAACGTCTTGTTAATAATTGGGTAGATTTTTCAAAGTAGAATGTTTTAATAAGTACAATGTTGTAATACAGAGAAATGAAAGTATGATGGTATAATACAGATATAAAAGATGACTTACCGAGCGTTCATAGGCATGAACATGGCCCGCAAACACAACATCAACTTTATATTTAATAAACCATGGTTCATACATAACCCTCATGGTTTCACCTTCCATGTAGTGATAATTGTAGCTATTATACCATGGAGAGTGCATTACAACAATCAACCATGGAGTCTCGGTTCGGTTGACTTTTGGTAGTTCTTTTTCGAGCCATTTGTATTGAGGGGTGTATTTACCTAACAAAATATGTTAGATTTCAAATATATTGTATCTTTATGATTTTATAATTGATGAAAGTAAATATGAAATTTTGGGGTGTTACCATATGCGGAATATGAAGCCAAAATAATGATGTAAGATGAAGCTCTCTTGATAGAGTACCAAAAAGGAGCGGTGCTTTGTGATGATTTATAAGGGACAGGATACCGGTGAGTGTAAGGCTTGAAAGGTTCATCCTCTCCCTATAAAATATTTATCAAACATGGAATTGAGATTTTAAGAAGGTCAACAATGTTGACTTTGACTTTTTGAGTCAAATGAATTTGTCTTTTGTACAATTTTGGAAATAATTGACAATTTCGAATTTTGAAAATCTTTTAAGTCAAATTTTCAATTTCAATTTCGAATTTGGAATTTTAGGATAAAATCAAATTTCAATTTCGAATTTTGAAAATCTTTTAATGACCTTAGAAGTCAAAATGAGATGAGAAAGAAGGTAGTGGATAATATTACAACAAACTAGTTATTTTTTATTTATTTTTTAATTTCAAATGCACAATTTAATCAACATCAATTTCAGAAATTAATAACGCGATCTTTCACATAAAGGGGGGAAAAACTTACGATTTCAGGAACAAAATCGATTTCATGATTTCCGGCAGTCCAAATCCAGGGTTGATACGCCGTACTTCTCTCCGTAAACCTTCCCCACGAATCCCATCTCCGGTTATCGTGATTCGGATAGTTATCAGCGTAGGAAAGGTCTCCGACAAACAACACAGTTTCACCTTTCGTTGGATTCATCTCATAATGCGTAAGTGTAATGTTCGAATCATAACTCTGCCCCAAATCCCCTGCAAATTATAACACAAAAACACGAATCAAAATTCCAATCTTTTTCAAGTTTCATCGTAGAAAATCTGTAAAGAAACACAATACCAATTAGGCCGAAAGTGTAAGGAACATCGGGTCCAACTTCGGGTGGAGTGGTGAACCAGAAAGTCCGTTTTGTGTGGTCAAGCCCAACAGAATAGAAGTATTTCGTATCATGCTGCCAATTGCCACCCACATTCATCCGAAAACAGTTAGTCAAATTTTGACTGGATTTCAAACTTTTTACTATTATATTTTCAGTCTTTTATTTAATAAGATAATAATTATTATTATTATTATTATTCAAATAAAACTAAAAATATAATGTTTTTTATTGTGATATTTGCCATAAAATTATTATAAAAGTTAAGAATTTTGTTGAAAAAATTACCCTCAAATGAGTGAGATTGCAATGATGGATGAAACCCGAAGTGTAATTGAAGAATGAGTATTTAGTAAGCATGCCTTCGGCTTTTCTCTTCTTTTTGCTGTTTTGAGGCCAATAGATAACAGTATTTGAACCGGGTTCATCCATTGTCACCCATGTTACAAGCATGGCTTTTCCAACATGATCGCCTTGTGTTATATGAACCTAAAAAGACAAAAAAAAAAAAAAAAACTATATTTAAAAAAAAAAAAAAAGCAAGAAAAAACAATTATAAAGATAGTTGTTATTATTATTATTTTGGGTATACATAATTATTCAACCGGTTCACAAGATTCATGCCGGCCGAGTGGCTCCTAATTTTTCAAACCCAAAATTAATAGAAACCACAAAAGAACAAAACCCATCAACGAAAACTGCATGTGGATTAGTAAAAGTCCAAAACCCATCAAGACTTATCTCAAAAATTTAAAATAAAAGAAAATTTGCAGAAAGGGTTATCAAGATGTATCGCAAAATCTTCGAAAATTACAAATGGATTCCTTAAATCAATACAAAATAACAAAGAACTATTGTTTTTACAAAATGGGTTTTGAAAATTGATAAAAACCCATCGATATTAATCACAAAGATCTTTTAGAAAAATAAAGAAAAAAAGAAAACCAGATTCTGAAACGGTGAAACCTATGAACATGGCAAATGAGAAAGAAGAAGAAAGAAAATACGATATAAAAACCAGACCTGTTGAGGCGCATTATAGCCAGGAGGCGTGATGAAGACATCAGCATCGAGAGGCATATCAATTGTTTTTTCAACTTTTCTTACGAAACTGCTGGTTGATCCACCATCAACACACAGAGTAGAAGCAAACACTAAAACACCAAGAACAAAAGCAAAAACAGAGCAACAGTAGACACCCATTTTACCCTACGCACCACAATCTTTCTTAAGAGATTAACCAAGATATATATATTTATAGAGTGAGAATTAGAAAACGAATAGGAATATGCAAACAAGATATTCCATTATTTGTCAACGAGTTCTAGATTGCAACTAAAACCCCCGATTTTTTCTATTAACCCGGGATCTCGATAGGTACTAACTAGCTAACTTTAAGGAGGATCAGACACTTAAATCTAGACAGTGTATATAATCTTGAAACACGTTTAAAAGAAAATCAATTTAAGTTTTACAACTTTGATCCATGAGTTTAGTACATTTTTTAATTTTGGTTCCTAAAGAATCATGTTGCAATTTTGGTCTTTCTTTTGAAGTTTTTAATGATTTTGTCCATACTCCATTTTATATGGCTATATTACATATATATATATATATATATATATATATATATATATATATATATATAAAATTGATTTATTGATAGTTTCATATTTATACATTTATTTATATATTATTTTAATACATTTGAGCTATATTCTGATGAAATGTAAAGATATTTGGTACTTATAATGTTTGAATTCTATTTCGCAGCCAAAAATGACATTCTCAAGGATAAAAGATTGAAATTGAAAAAAAAAAAAAGCTAGATACTTGTTGGGGCTGGAGCTGAAATTAGGAGAAGAATGAAGAAGAAATCAAGAAAATGGAAACTCCCACGACGTGGACATTTGATTCCCATGGCCTGGCATAAAGAATCTTCTCGATCCCTACATTAAACCCTTCTCACGACATGACCATCTATTGGTCACGAAGTAACCACATGTCAACAAAAGAATCATCTACAGACTTGCACAGCTTCCTTAGCGCATACGAGATTACTACGTTTCTCACGACGTGAAACTCTTATTGTCACGTCGCAAGAGCTGAATTTTGGAAAGTATAAATATCAATCTTTTAATTGAAATCAGAAGAGTGAGAGCAAATAGCTACGATTGAAAAGCGAAAAAAAATACATTCTAAGAACCCTTTGAAAGCATAAGAAGATTATAGATTGAGAGATTAAGAGATTGAAGCAAGATTTCCACATAAATCATTCGGTTTACTAGTTTTTACCATGTCTTATCTAGTTAAATCAGATTTTGTGTGTTTTTCTTTTGTAATCATGAGCTAAAACCATATATTTTCGTTTAGTGGTGATGAACCCTCATATTATGTGTTAGTTTCTATTTTCATAGACTTATTGAAGTTGGTTTAGCTTGTGTTTGATAGATCAATACCTATTATGTTAAAAGTTTTAATCTTTGTTGCTTAGATTTCAAGTTTAGTGTGGTTAGATGATCACTTTGATTGCATGAACTTGTTTACCTAGTTGTTTATGAATCCTAAATTGCTAGAGGTGGTGATTGACTAAATCCTAGATTAAGTAATAAATAGGGAAATCTTCAGAAAAGTCTCAATATTTACGGAAAAGTTACACTTAAGTTCCAAGATTTTTTTTTAACGAAAAAGTTCTGAAAACCGGCAAAATTTTGCAGTTTGACCATTTTTGACCGGTTGAAACTGATACCAAATTAATTTGGGACTATTTCGTAAACTAACCAAAAATATTGTGACTTTTCTGTAAACAAAAAATAGTATGGCTTTTCTGTAAACAAAAATATTATGACTTTTCTACAAACATTATTATTATTATTATTATTATTATTATTATTATATAAATAAGAATACTATTTTTTGAACTTGTTATTATTAATATTGTTACTAATACATATAAATGTATTTAAATGAAAAAATAATATTAATGACATTGTTTAATGGTAGAGGTGGAGGAGATGGTAATGTTTTTAGCACTGAAATTCTAAATGTCTCATTGTATATTTTTACTTTGCATATTGTCATTTCACATTTGTTATTATTGTTTTCAATTCAGAATAGTAATACTTAACAATTTAAAAGAAGTTGCATATTTGTAAAATTGTTTATAAATAGTTTAAGGTAAAAGGGTTTCTCACTTTGTATATAAAATTGTTTAAGGCTGAGCACCAGAGACCTCACGGCAAGGTCCAGTCGTTGGATATCCCGCTGTGGAAATGGGAAGATATTATGTCACACCCCCAAACCAGAACGGCGGAAACGTTCGGGGGCGGATGACTTCATGTGGTAACGTAACAAATGAATACATAGTAAAGAAAGCAATACAATCATCATATATATAATTGAAAGTTTACATTGTTTAAAACAGTACATGTTCCAAAACCAATTACAATATGATGCCAAAAATACGAATTTAAACTGGCGCCGCAGCGTTCCTTCTTCAAAAAGTTGTTTGGTACCTGCAATTACTGAGTCCTTGGGACATACAAGTAGTTTTGAAAGAGTAGATCAGCATTTAAGCTGGTGAGTTTCATAAGTATTTAAATGATAGTATTTATATGAACTAAAATGAAATGGTTTGTTTTTGTTTGTTAGTTTCTAGAAAATCCCATATTTCCTATTGGTATAAATGTAGCCTTAAATCAAAACCAATGTTTGTTAGAAAGTTGATGTTTTCCCATCTGTGAGTAGTGGTTTAGAAGTTCCAAACTTGTATCACAATTAGGTTTTTCATGCCTAAAGTAGTTAATTTATGTACGTATAAAACCTCCAATACGTCTGAAAAACCCCGTAAATCAATGTGTTTTTAATACTCTAGGTGAGTTTTATAACCATGCTATTGACTAGAAATGCATATACACAACGTTCTTCAGGCGTTGGAATGTTCTAACGTTTGTCACCCCAAATGGTGTATTGTAGCTAACAGTCAGTGTGCGGGGTTGTCAATTCCGTATAGATCTATACACAAACACCATGTTCCCCCTCCAAGGGATTCTGGTATATAATACAGGACTTGAAATATGTACTCGAGCGTACGTGAAGTTTAATGTCTCACAAAACTTAGTATAAAACAGATTTACGTGTGAAAATGTTCGTTTGTTCTTGTATATGAAAGTAACTTCTTGAAATAATATTTCCAGTATGTAAAAGTTCATAGTGTTCTCGTAAAACTATAACTATTATAGTTTCCTAAAAGTGTGTTTCCTTTGTATAATAATCCCTAGTGAAAATGCTCACTTGTTATGAAAAATATAATTTTTGTAGTGCCAAAACTGGACACATATACCTGTAGTATAAACAGAGTGTTTGATTTACATAAAGACATAAATCATTTCTTATTTCAAAAGATAAGATGTTATCGTGGTATAATTTGCATACGAAAGTTTCCCTATAATAGTTATAAATCACATATGATTTCATTGATAAAAAGCGTATAATGAAACTTTATTATATAACACACGATAATAATCAAGTGTTTTACTTGTATCCCCCCCCCCCCCCCCCGCTTAAAAGCATATAAAAGTATTTATAAAACATTTAAAATTGTGGATTGTAGGGGTATGAACTCACTTGAAAGATCGAAGAAGGCGAGATGAAAACCGGACATAATTTCGACTCGAGAAAGCGGATTTTCTCGGGATTCTCGGGAATCTCAGGAGCACAAACGACCTTCAGGACTTGAGCAAGGTAACCGGGACTTCGGGATAGCACGTGCACAGAAAACGAGACAAAAACGCAATAAAGATGAGAGGAATTGGCCCTTCTCTTCGGAACCCTCGAATCCCTTTTATAGGGGTGGGAACCGCCTCGGTACGCTGGGCGTACTCGTGCGTCATGCGTGACCGCATCCTCGACTGCTTCGGACTCCGGATGGGACGAGGCATAGCCTCGCATAGGATGCAACGTGGACGATCCGAGGCCTAGGCCTCGAGTACGCTGGGCGTACGCGTGTACGCTGGTCGTACTCGGCCCGTGACTCAGCCTTCGGATAATACCGAAATTAAATTAAAAATTATATTTGTAATATTTAATAAACTTCAAAAATTCATATCTTCTTCATACGAACTCCATTTTCGATGTTCTTTATATCCACGCGCAGGTGGGACTATACTCTACAACTTTCGTTTAGATTCCGTCAGCAAATTTTGAAATTATTTTTATTATTTATTTTTAAAAGGTCGCGGTAAGAAAATTTCATTAGAAATTCATAACTTCATTATCTGACGTCTGTTTTTGCCAGACTTTTTACCGTTGAAAAACCATTGTCGAGACTCTCGATTCTCATTTAGGTCATTCCGGTCAAAAGTCGCTCGATCTCTGTTTCGAGTTTTTAGCTATCCGTTGCTAAGCTAAACTTGGAAAATTCATAACTTCCTTATACGAAGTCAGATTTGGGCGTTCTTTTTACGTACGATCACAGTTTAATGACATCTAACATAATAAGTAATTTAATTAATGATTTTTGGATATTTTATTTTCGAAGTTAATTTCATTATAACAAATGTGGTAACAATACTTGACTTTTTAGGTCGTTACATAGAGTTGAAATATCGGGTTGTCACATATTACGATAGATTTTATCACGAAGCTTCCCAGGACCGCACGAGGCGTAGATTCGATTTGGGTCATCGTCGATCGATTGACCAAGAGCGCTCATTTTATTCTGATTCAAAAGAGTATTTCGGCCGAAAGGTTTTCCGATATCTATATCAGGGAGGTGGTGGCGAGGCACGGGGTGCCAGTTTTGGTGATTTTAGACAGGGATGTGCGGTTCACTTCCATGTTTTGGAAGAAGTTTCATGACGAGTTGGGTACTCGTCTGCATTTTAGCACCGCCTTTCACCCGCAGACAGATGGGTAGAGTGAGCGGACCATCCAGACCTTGGAGGACATGATGTGGGCGTGTGTTCTAGACTTCAGAGGTAGTTAGGATACTTACCTTCCATTGGCATAGTTCTTCTATAACAATAGTTATCATGCGAGCATCGACCGTCCTCCTTTCGAGATGTTGTATGAGATGAAGTGCAGGACCCCGATATGCTGGGGAGAGGTTGGGCAGAGGGTCATGAAGAGTACCAAAGTGGTACTCAAGACTACGAAGAGGATCCAGCAGGTCCGTAACAAACTTCAGATGGCTCAGAGTCGGCTAAAAAGTTATGCCGACAAGCATCAGTCGGACCTGGAGTTCCAGGTCGGGGACATGGTGCTCCTGAAGGTGTCGCCTTGGAAGGGCGTCATTCGATTCAGGAAGCGGGGCAAGTTGGGCCCCAGGTATATCGGACCCTTCAGGGTTATAGCCCGGGTGGGCAAAGTGGCATATAGGCTGGACCTGCCAGCCGAACTCAATCAGATTCATAGCACTTTTCACGTCTCCTAATTACATAAATGTTTGGTGGACGATTCGGCAGTGGTACCTTTAGATGATATTCAGGTCGATGACAGCCTGAATTACATCGAGCGACCTGTAGCGATCCTCGTCCGGAAGTCGAAGGA